CCGAAAACTTTGCCTCCAATGTCAATTTGCTTGACCTTGAGGTATCTTGAAGCTCTGTCTTGGTCCGGAGTGCTTGCCACCATAATGTTCTGCTGCAAGTTGAAACAGATGATGTCCTGCATGGCCTCCTCCTCTTTGATGCCGGCCGCCAGTACTATCGCGTCTGCCACGGCTCCAGGGGCAATTCTCGAGATATTTAATCCTCCACGTGGTCGTAGCACAATTTTGCTGAAGCCCTTGGGTAGTGGCGGCATGCGTCCAGCTCGCACGATTGTATGCTTGGTATTATACCTACTACAACTGGCTGGAGCGCCTCCCGCAACGCCAGCTTTGGTCGAACCTTTGGCAGCAAGAACGCTAACCGCGGCTTGCTTATTCCTTAAGCGTCTCGTTTCGGCTTCCTTCCAACCCATGTCTTCCATGCAATCCTCTGGAGAGATGTCCTCTCCATCTACTTGGTATTCCATTCTCAGTTGCAGGGCTTGGAACGCGCAGAGCGTTGAGTCACGTTGGCGCCGGGTCGGCGCATCGGCGACAGTCGCCTCCTTGGTTGTTAGGCCTAAATCCCCCGGTTGCGTTGCCGTGTAAAATTGCCCCCAAAACGGTTTAAAAGTACACTCACCAGCACAAAGGTGGTATCTGCTGATTTCTTGAGAACTTAGGCACACGATGGGACTGAAAACTCGGCGACAAATTCGTGAATACCACAGGAAAGCATTCTTGAAAGCAGGAGCCAATCTTCGCGCGTCCGCACTGGTCGGCACCTTATACCCAAGAATCCCTCGAAATACTGTTGCAATAACGAAGTTTTTGCGGATGATCTTAGCCATAGTAAACCTGAAAAGCCTTAGCAATGAACCTGGTTACACTGGTAAATTCAGCTGCTTACACCAATTGCTTCACTTATAACCTTCATAATTAAGAATACAGCAAAAAAGAGATCATCGCTAGACTTAATCTTTTAGGCAAACGGCTATAGACCATGGGAATGCTTGGAACGGTGCTGCCTAAATGTCTGCGACGAACTCCTCACTGGACAAGGAACACGTAGAACCAAAAGAAGGACTGATCACCACAGCAATGAATAATTGTTTATTAATGAATTAGTTATTAAATAATTAAATGGATGAATGTCTGAATGGGTGAACTTTATTCGGTCCTTCGGAACGCTCTTTAGCACATTGCGGGCCGCTCCCACACCGGAACAGAAAGATCAAGTCTCTCTGCTGCATCGTGGGCCCGTTGGACTGCCCATATCAGTTGTTCGAGTTCGGAGCTACAGTCCTCCTTAACCTTACATCACTCTTCATTACTGTCACATACCTTTATGATCGCCTTGTCGAATTATACTCTACAAGTGTACTTTACTATACAAGGGTACAAGGGAACTATACTAAACTTTACCCTCTCCCCTTCTCTTTTCATTCCTCTCTTCATTCGTTGACATCAACGCCTTGCTGTCTAAAGGTATGAAGGCATCCATGCAAGGACTATGGAATGATCCGGATTATCGCCACAAGCGCATATACAGGCTTGACTCTTGTCCTGTTGTTTGCCTCCAGTTCCGTCTAAGAAGAGAACAAGAAACGCTACTACATAGAGTGCGGTTGGGTGTTGCATACACGCGACGATGCTTATGCATGATTGGACAAGAGCAAAATGCCTAACTGCAACTTGTGTAACATGCCAGAAACTATCAATCACATCCTGTGTGTGCCCTTTATACGCAGTTGAAAGATAATCTCTTACGTGCCTCACAGATGACATATATAGACTGTCGACCCTTTCGGAAGAGAAACGTTTGGGTGCTTGGGAACGTGCGGATAACGCCCAACGCAGTTTAAAGGGCCTGCTCGCATTTCTAAGCAATACAGGTTTAGATTCCCGTATCTTAGAGAATCTGCTGATGTAGAGACTGTTTGTGTGTACTACACTCAACGAGACATTCTGCGCAGTGACTCATTGTGCTATACCACAATCACCCCTCATCGATACCCTCCTCTTTCTTTCCTTTTTCTCCTTACCCCCGGGAGGAGTAGCAGGCCAGAAACCCGCTTTGAAGGCCTACCTCTCCTCCTTGTTCTCATTAAACGTCTTCATCTTCATCATCTTCATCATCTTCATCATCTTCATCATCTTCATCATCTTCTTCATCTTCATCATCTTCTTCATCATCTTCTTCATCATCTTCTTCTTCATCTTCTTCTTCATCTTCTTCTTCATCTTCCTCTTCATCTTCCTCTTCATCTTCCTCTTCAGCTTCCTCTTCATCTTCCTCTTCATCTTCCTCTTCATCTTCCTCTTCATCTTCTTCATCATCTTCTTCTTCATCTTCTTCTTCTTCATCTTCTTCTTCTTCATCTTCTTCTTCTTCATCATCTTCTTCTTCATCATCTTCTTCTTCATCTTCTTCTTCTTCTTCTTCTTCTTCTTCTTCTTCTTCTTCTTCTTCTTCTTCTTCTTCTTCTTCTTCTTCTTCTTCTTCTTCTTCTTCTTCTTCTTCTTCTTCTTCTTCTTCTTCTTCTTCTTCTTCTTTATGCTATACTACTATATTACTATGCTATGGAAAAATCTGGTCCATAAGTCCACTAGGGGAAGCTCTCCCCCTCACTGGTCACATGTGATGAGGGGGGGGGAGGCAATATCTGCCCCAGACATTGACTCAATGGGGAGGGGTAGCGCAGCGACAAACTTTCCTCCTTTTGCGAACCGAAGCAATACCGCCACCGCCAAAACAGCGCTCACGTGGCACAAACTACGGCAGAACACGTGTTCTGCGATGGGAGGGCTATAAGCTGTCCTGGTGCACTATTTGCTCCGTATAGTCGTTTAGAAAAAAGTGGTTAACGAGTTTGAGTACTATGTATACTCTAACATGGGAGAGTATAAAGCTGTCCCGTGGGCCTCACACTTGATGAGGCCCTGTTTACAAAAATAACGGCGTGAGCCGAGAGGTATGAGCACAGAGCCGGGAAAGCCTAAATGTGTTTAGATAAAGTGGTTAATAATTTACAGTACTTCGTACTCTATACTATGGGTCAGCATATAGCTAGCCCGTGGTCTTCATACTCGATCAGGCCCTGTCGACAAAAAATTCGCCCGGCCTTCCTCAGACGCGGCACATCGGCATGGTGTGGTGTCTAGAAAAAGCGGCTAACGATCTTAAGCATGCAATTTCCTAAAATTAACCAGAGGGACTATATCGCTGTGATCGTTCAGCGACCATGGGAATGATGGGTAGTACACACATTTGCCTATATATAGTGTTCGTACTTGCGGGTGGCGAATCGTACTTGCGGCTTCGTTTATTGCTGTGTTTCGGTTTTTGTTGTGGAAGAAAGATTCAACCCTATTGAACTACTTGACCCGAATTGGAAAGGTAAGTCTAAAAGAATATGGTGGTGCACGAAGCGCAACCGCTGAACATTTGGCTGATTTTTTTGTTTAGGAAAAAAAACAGCTCCAAGCCACACAAACACACACGAAGCCACAAACAGGCCAGAAGAACGAAGATTAGACAAATGTGTGTACTACCCATCATTTCCATGCTCGCTGAAGCGTGTTGCGTTGCGACTCCCATAGACACTAGTGCCAGAGTTTTCTCTAGTGCATATTAGGAAACTCTATGATCTTGAGTACTTGGTACTCCACTATAAAAGAGTCGCTCTATGTGTTTAGAAAAAAGTGGTTAACGATTCAGAGTACTTGATACTCTACTATGGGAGAGCATGAAGCCGTCCAGTCGGCCTAATTCATGTGCCAACGAAGCCAATTGTAAAACGGTGCACCCAACTTTTTTGATACTCAAAAAGCGTCCATGCATGGTAAATCTGGTTGCATTTCAAAACGCGACTGTCCACCTGAATAGCTTCACTTATGGACCAAACATTATGGAATACCGCTAATAAAGAAATCATCTTCAGATTCTGTTCTTTAAGCAAACGACTACACAGAATAAAGAAGTTGACTGGAAAGGTTCTGCTGCGAATTCCTCGCTGTGCAACATACAGGTTGAAACCGAAAGCGCTACTGACAACTACAGCTACGAACGAATGAAGGATATAGAAGGACTTTCCCTGATGGCTGTGGATGTGGTAACAGGGTGTTCCAGCAAAGCCGGGTTTCCGTACAGTAAGTACGGAAACACACTACCGTTGTCTTCGGCACTTAGCCTATTGTAGTCTCTGAGTAAACTGTATTAGCCAATTTGCTCATCTCGTCCCGCTGCACAGGGCACAATGATCTGCTTGCAGGGTGATAGCGTTAAAACAAGCTACGCGCCGATTGCGACGGTATGGTGTTTCTGCACTTAACATATACTGTGAACCAGCGCGGCTAAACGACCCTATTATCCTTGACGGCAAATGTAGATACTTGGCACCTGTAATAGTGCTTCAATAACTAGGCAAAAAAAAAATAAAGAATTCAGCACTAAATTCACAGTAAAAAATATCATGTGGTTTAAGGCGCTACACAAGGGTCTGCTCGGAAGCGTCGGGCGCAAGCTACAGTTCCATCAAGAGCGCCGATACTTTGGCACCGCGCGGCGAACAACGGGGGGCATTTGCGACAAGAACTCCCTTCGCTAGTCCTCCCCGGCAGCCCACAAACCCATCCGACGTCAGACCGTACGTCTTTTTTCAGCCACCTCCGATGCGAAGCAAAACTAAAAAAAATAGACCGACAAAAGAATCAAAAGGCACGTCAAGGGGAAAATGAAAGCGCTAGCGAACGTAGTACCGCGTTTTCTCGTTTTTTGTCCGCCACCGGTGGAAATATTTCTTTTTGCAGAGACGACCGAATCCAACTCTCTCTCTCTCTCTCTTTCGCTTCGGCGCACTCTCATTGGTGCGACGCAAACCAGACGCTCCGCCCCGTAGAGCTTTCTATCAGCCAATGCGAGAGGTCGGTCCGCGAAGCCGTCCTGCCCGCATAGCTTTCCGCCCAGTGTGCCATCTTTGTTTTTAAGTTCTCGTCTTCGAGCTTCCCCACCCGACACAAAGCGGCGCGTGGTGTGATGGTCCGTTCCGTCAAGTGGTCAGTGAAAAACTTCGATCGGTGACGTAGGGACACCCAGTGGTTCGTCTCGTCTGCGAATCTACTGCGTCAGGCTCCTGGATATCCAACGGCCGTCGCTATGGTTTTGCGGACATCGCCTACGGCTAGGCGACACCGCTGACCACCCATCCGGTGGTTTCTATAGTCACCACCTGAACCGAAAGACGACGCTGATCGTCACCTGTGAGTGTTTGATGGTGCTACGTGATTGGGAAACTTCTGAAACAGCGACGACCATCGCGCTTTCAGTGTGCGTTACCAGTGGTTCGACGACAACTTTGGTGGGGTGGCACTGTTGTGACGTTTCGGGTAGTTGGAGAGTAGTACGGCGTCGGGGAGTTTAGACCGAGGTGCCTTTGTCAAACGTCCACTCTTTTGCGAGCATAATAAGAAGTCAGAACGACCGAGAAGGTATTTTATATCAGCACTGCTCAGCAAGACTGCTTTCTGTGCTCAAGGATGCGGTAAAAGTGTGCAGCCTACCAATCATCGATCAGTCGTCACGTGTGTTTTAGGAGCGCTGACAAAGCGGCAAGTACACAAAATATGTTTTCCGAAGCATGGAAGTAACGTTGAACGCCGGGAACTTCAGCTCGAAGGGTTGAGTGTTCTTAGTTTTGGTCGCTCGTTTGAAATCAAATGTCCAGGCATCTTGCAAACGGTGGTGCTCACATGGGCCGAATTCAGAGACCCCCGGTGCAGTGAATGTTGATTTCGGAGAATATTTGACTACATGAAGCGAGTTCCAGAAGCCTCCTTGACTCCAATTCGCGTGCAGCGTTTGGCCGCCAGGGCACCACGAGTGAGGTTGTGTTACGGTACCCTTCTGGTAGTCATCGCCATCACAGCGAGCGCCACTGATGTACGGAGCATAAATACGTCACCAGTGATGTATTCAATGAAATAAAGAGCTCGTACACTAGTCTCAAGGGGCATCTCCACGAAAGCCTGTAGTGACCAAGTTCAGTTAACGAAAGTGACGACGCTTTGACCCGTGACCAGACGCGCGGACATACCGTCACTGGAGGCAAAAGTTATTCTGTTCATCGTACAGTCTGTCACAAGTCTTCGTCTCGCAAAACGAAGGTAACGTACGGAACACAGCAAGGTTGTCACTCTCTGCCCCTATGTTTATAAACTGCAGAGGCCATTTGGCCAGCAAGGACTGTTGCGTTCAACTAAAGGCCGAGAGGAGACGGTCGCGCTGTCTTAGCTATTCACTGCGCTCTCTGTGACATGACAGGTCGGTTTAAGGCCGGCCGTCAAAACATTTGGCGGAATAGTTAGCTGAGACATCTTTGCCTACTCCCCTTCTGAAAAGACTCTACCCCTCAGCCCCGTTACGTCCAATTCGCTTTCATCGCCCATAATGGCGACTTCGATTCTCAGCAGTACCAGCAGCGGCAGTACAGACTCTTCTGGCGACAGCTGCAGGTACCGGTCCTCTTCGTCCTCTGTAGCGCTAGACCTGAACCGGGAAGACCACGGTGGGTCGTCCGGGGCCACGCACTCGATGCTTCTGGACCATCACGCCGGTCCAGCGACGTCCGCGTACGGTGCCAGCAGGCGCGTCGACCTGATGGATGACGAAGACGACGACGAGGATGAAGATGCTTCGCTCGCGGGCATCAGCCATCATCACCTGTCGTCGTCCCCGCTCGCATCACCACCACCTGTTGAGGCGAGCAGGCGGCCACGAGCTCATCAACGGTGTCTCGCACTATGCCGAACTGGTGGCGGCGGGGACATCACGAATCAGTGTCACGTGGTACGCTTCCGCCGTTGGATCCCGACTCCATATGGTCAGTGCCGGTTTGGTTCATTTGAGTGGTTTGTATATGCTATGCGAAATAAGAAAGCAGCAGTCTAAGAAAGGCATGCAGTCCAGTAGCCTGAGGGGACTTCTCCCTAGAATTACTGCAGCGGGCAAGGGCTTAGAGCAACACAAGAAAGTGCACAAAACATCTAACCCGTCATTGGACCATTCTTAAGTATAGTAGATGAAGATTCGTGGTAAACAGCTTAAGAGAGATGAAACAACCACGTTGTCAGCTGATGTTCGTCGATGGCCTGACGAAGCTTCGCCTTCTCGCTATAAAACATTGGTGAAAACATTAAATGACTTCCTGAAAAGTTAAAAATGTTTGCTGACGTTTCGGCCCCCCACACGAATTCATTGTGAAAAAGGCTCTCGTGGGGCAGTCGAAACGTCTCTAAGCATTCTTCGCCTTGGTCGGCGCTCCTCAATGTTTTCGCCACTAATATTCATGGTCCAATGCAGAAATGGTATACGGGCTTCGAGAGTGCGCAATACCCTTAGAACTGTCAAAAGATTTCACTCATTCAAACCACGCCCATCCAGATTATGGAAACTGGGCTATATTTCGAACATCCTATTGTTTTTCAGCGTGTGACTCAATTAAGACACCCACGAACGCTTTCGCATTTCGCTCCCGTCTAAACGGAGCGGGAGTCGAACCCGTGACTACCCACTCGTAAACGCAACTCCGCAGTCACTATAAGTGATTTGATTGATATGTGGGGTTTAACATCGCAAAACCACCACATGATTTTGAGAGACGCCGTAGTGGAGGGCTCAGAAAATTTTGATCACCTGGGGTTCTTTAACGTGCACCCAAATCTGAGCACACGGGCCTACAACATTTGCTGCCTCCATCGGAAATGCAGTGGCCGCCGCCGGGATTTAATACCGCGACCTGCGGGTCAGCAGCCGAGTACCTCAGCCATTAGACCACAGTGGTGGGGGCAGTCACTATAAGTTACATTAACTATCCTATTTCACTTTATTCACGTAATAGTGTAGACACCTCTTCAGTTGGCAACTTTCGTTTAATGGACGAGATCACCACCTACAAAGAGGATCCTGGTTTCTGCATGTATATATGCTGATTTGACCAAAGCGTATAAATAGACGGCTATGCAAGTGACAAGTACGGACATTAGGTATACACTGTGCATTTGTGAGAATATCGCATGCTGTTTGGGCCGTACATCGTCGCCGAGGGCAACAGCTAAAAGCGACAGGTGACCCCACGTTCAGCTGACTCTTGTGGACTCACCAGTTGATATCTACGCGTACGTATAGGTGTACGTGAACCACAGATAGTCCTAACAATGGTACACATTTACAAAAGCTGATTGTAATTTTTTATATCTTGAGTGCATCGTAGGCTATCAGATTGTGCACGTGTAGATTGAAGAGGAGCTCGGGTCCAGTTCTCTGGTGTCTTTGTCGTCTATAAAAGCGAGCGTTATTTAAGAATGCCTTCATTTTTAGAGTAAGCGTGTGGGGCTGCTTAAACTAGTTCAGGCTGGAAACCACTTAGGGAGCGCTACTTTCAGACGAAGATAATATTAAAACAATGAGGATAAGCACTTTGCGCTCCCGCTTACACGTCATGCAGTACATGAACAGGAAAGAAAGTGGTTTCACTCAATAGTGCGACGGTAATGAGGTCTCACACGACTTCCATGGCCCCACCCGACAAATTATTATGAAACGTATCCCTGATCGAAAACCTTTGTCATTGCCTGTTTGGAATTAAAGATGATCCAACGCACTCCCACTGGATATGGCAGCTGACAAGATTATCTTTTTGAAGCGATATGTACATATGGCGTAAGCGGACAAGGATTCATTGTTATTTCGGGTTCTTTAGCGGTGGGACTGTTTAAGCAGACTGTTGTTCTGTGCAGAAAGAAGAGACAAATATCATCGCCATAAACTGGCACGTCTTTGCTTCGTCTTCCTCTGCTTCACTCCCAGAACACGTATGTGATAATTTGTCCGGCGTGGGATCCAATAATGTTGTTAAGTGAGACAACTGGTACAGAGTAGGAGAGCGAGGAAAAAAAAGTGAAATACAGGTGGGAAAAACAAAGATCTAGAAAGACACCGACACACAGAAGGAAATATAAAAAGACAGAGTAAGACCAGAGATATAAAAGGGAAAGTGAGAAATATAGGGAGAATATGCACAAAAAAGAGGAAGAAGAATATAGAGAAAGAGATAGGGAGAAAAATACCGAAAGATAAATAAACGAGGCAAGAAAAAAAACATAGAAACACTGAAGGAAAGAGGACAAGAGACATAAAAAAAAGACAGAAAGAGAACATTGAGGAGAAGCGAAGAAGGCTGCCCATTTCCACGTTTGCTTGCTTCAAGATTAAGCACAGCTATAGAGCGAAGGTCGCCTTATTATTTTTTAATCGTAGAAAGGCCGTCGTTCTACTTTATTAAACGGTGCACATCGCTAAACAGCGTTAGCGTCACACTTAACTGCTAAAAAAATTCAGTGAGGTGTTTATAAACAGTGATTCGGGAACATTACAAAATCTATTCCTTAAAATGTGTGCGTGCACAAACAAGAACTATAGACACCTGATTCCTCACGTATCTGGCTCTGATACGCGTAGCATTAGATTACACGAGTCGCACTTTTTAAGGAGCTAAAAGGAGAATAAATAAAGACCGTGGAGTGGTTTCATATTTTTTTCCTCTTTCCTTTTTTTTCTTAGCTCGAGCACTTACATATAAATATATATAGCATGAACGACTGTTTATCAACTTCTTTATCTGAAGAAACCTTCCTTGAATGTTTTGGATGTAGGAGCATGTTAAATGACGTTTCATTGGACTACTTATCATCATCATTATCATCATCATCATCATGGTCATCATCAGCCTGACTACGCCCACTTCAGGGCAAAGGTTTTTCCCGTGATCTGCCAATATCATCCAGGTCTTGTGCGTCCAGCTGCCGCGTTACACGTTCAAACTATTTAATATCATCGACCCACCCAACTTCCTGTCTCCCCTTCGTGCGTTTCGAATCCAGTCCCCTTCGCCTCTGGGATTCCGGTGACAGTCAGTTACCATTATTGACCGGCGGTTTATCCTGCCTACGTGTTACGTGTCCGGTGCTTTTATCAGATATATCTAATTGAAGCCATTGACGAGTGTACCGAGAGGCACGCTACCTACTGGCTCCAGTTCCAGACTGCTTGCACTTGACGAACACCACTTATCAGCGTAGGTCGGCGAACTCCCCCGCGAGTCGACTCAGCCGGCCTAACTCAGCCTCGGATGGAGTCGTGAGCCTGAGTAAGTCTGGCTGAGTAATATCTCAGTGAGGTCAAATCCGAGTGAGTCCCGTTGAAGACAATTTTCGTGATTGTAAGCGAGTCCGACTCAGTAAAGGTTTGATGAGACTATGTACGAGTGAGCCCGAAGCGCATAATACAGTTTATTAGTGAGTTTAAAACGTAATGGCGGGCTGGTTGGTAAGACATTACAGCGTATGACAGCGTACACCAGGTAACAGAAAGGAAACGCCCCTTTGTTAGAGTGTTCTTTGTTAGAATGCTCTTTGTGTAACCTGGTGCACGCTGCCGTACGCTGTTATGAGTAAGGCTGGGTGAGCTCGACAGTTTTTGCCGACCTGTGCTTACCAATGGCAAAAAGAAAAAAAAAAGAACTGCAGGTACTGCCGATCTTTATATTCATTTAAAATTTTTCCGCCAGTCTTACCTGATATCTACTTTGCCCGTTCATGGGATGTACAGAGGTCGAGTCGTTTCATATATATATTTGAAACAGGAAAGCTCAGAACAAAATTATGGGTAACTAAAACTGATTTACTTGCGTGATAGGAATCACGAATTTAAAATAAACAATAACTTAGTTTCGATTATCACACTTGGAATAACTGGACACACCTTCGATTATCACTGGCACTATGCGCTTCGGGAAAGTAGCCTACAGACTTTTGTTTGGAAAAAAGACGTGGAGAGGATTTATATGCGTTGCATAAGATCAACATAGGAAAGCTAGTATTCAAAACTCTTTTCTTTAAAGATTTCAAACAAGTTATGTAAAACGAAATCGTTCGATTGCTGAATTCAGACAAACTGGCCATTTAGTTGAATATCAGTGAACTACTTCACACGGGAAGTTCGACACGGCCTGGTATAACACAGAACTGAGATCATCTGTACACATTCGTGCTGAAAGACATGACGTGCAAAGACGGACAGAAAACGAGCACTTTTCTTTTCTGTCCGTGCTTGCACGCACAGTTTTGCAGCATGTTTAGTATTCATTAATAATGGCACGTATTTACAGTCTATAGTGGTGACACGCGTCAAGACGGGACCCCCGTTTGTAACACCAGGAAAAAAAAATCGAACACGCTGCACGTTGTAAAAAATCGAGCGGCAAAAACAGACATGTACCGAAACGACGTCGGAAAGTAGCATTCAAACCACGATTCGATTTTGAGATACGTCGTAGTGGAGGGCTCCGAAAATTTTGACCATCTGGTCATATTTAACGTGCGTGGACATCACACAGCGCATGGGCCTTAATCATTTTGCCTTCACCGAAATACGACGGCCGCGGCCGGGGACGAACCAGCGGCTTTCGGGTCAGCAGTAGAGCAACCACTGACCCACCGTGGTGGACACACGTTGGCAAGCTTTCTGAAGAGCTATATCGTCCTTTCCCCGCGTCTGTTATCATATCTGCCGCAATTAAACGTGGCTGATTTAGAGTATGTCAGCGGCAAGTCTGGACTAGCCTCACCGACAAGTGAGATAGTTCAAATTTTAAGGCGTATAGCTTTGCACGCACCGTTAAACGTGAGAAATAGACAATCGGCGTAGGCGTCAACTCGAGTGATGTAAAAAAAATTATCATGACATGACGAGCTCAACATATATAAGACGCTACAGGTGGCAAATTTCGTGACGTCACTGTGACATCACGTGCCGTCATGTCACTACAAAGGGGGGCTGATCGCGGAGACTATGCAAAGCAGTGTGAGTTGCAGTGCATTGCAATGCCTCTGAGCACAGAGGCAGTGCTAAAACACGTTATCGGAGGTAGGTCGATACATTTACTGAGAAGAAAAAAAAAGGTGGCTTTCGCCATACACTTTGCTAAAATTTACTATAGAGGACTCTGTTGCTGCTATCACTAAGCGACCATGCGGATGATGGGTATAGTACGCAGATTTACCTAGTCTTTGCGCTTGCGGGTTTCGAACTCACTTGTAGCTTCGTTTATCGCAGTGTTTCGGTGTTGTTACGAATAAAAAAAAAAAGGAACCGTTTTGAACTTCGATCGAGACCCGATTTGAAAAGCTGAGCATGAAAGGTTAATGTGGCGAAGCATAACTGCTAAACCTTTGCTGATTGACGTTTTGCGGCAAAGCAGCTGCAAGTCACGCGAAGCCAAACGAAGCCCGAAGAACGAAGAATGGGCAAACTTGTGTGCTATACGTATCATTCCCGTGCTGACAAGCGCCGTGCGTTACCGCTCCCACTAGACACTTGCGCCGGCGTTCCCTCGGGTGTATTGATAGGAAATTCTGTGGCTTTCGTCTTTTATACATCTTAGGTGAATGCATGACAAACCACAAACGATGATTTAAAAAAAAGTGATTACATGGTGTTGTGGGAAGTCAACCAAGTGTTCAAATCATGGGTACGTCTGTCGCTACTACATAATAACCCGTTTATAACAATATTGACTCAAGTACCATGAAGAGTTTGGTGTTATCACCGATAATTGCTGTCAACAGGTTGCATGAAAAAAAAAAGGTCGAAAGGGGGGACAGCAGGCTGCCGTGAGAAAGCTATGTCTAATTGAATATGCCAGCACACATCATGCAGTGGTAAGAATAAGGAAAATGGCGTTTTTTTCTTTTTTTTACACACTAGAAAATTCAAATGCTTTCGCGGAACCAGGGAAAGCCCCAGAGAGCCAATGTAAGACAGCGTCTGAAGTTTCAGACTCTGACACTCTTCCCAGTTTTAACTTTACGCACAAATTTCACGTTAGAAAGTGCACTAATAAATGAGAACGCCACTCCCTCGTCGTATCGAATTTCGTAAACAAGCTCTCACGCAATTGTATACGCTATGCGGAGAAGCATACCAATAAGCCGAAAGGGATGCTGGGAACATGGGATTGTGGGCGGGGCTTCAGCAGCTTGAATTTCTCGTTTTCTTCTCTTTATTCAGGAATTTCACATTCTATTATACCTGTCAGCACGAAAACTTGACAGCCAGACTTCATTGTTATAAACGCTAAAATGGTAAGCGGGCATTGCTGTAAGCGGGTCCTTTTATATTTGAAAACGTACGAATGTTGACGGTGCAGCAGCTTTTCGCTGTTATAGCCCATATGTTGTTAAAAAAAAAAAGGTATAGTTATAAGTGGGTTCAACTGTTAATGCTCAGAAATTGAATACTGCTTCCTAATATATTCCATTCAGGCACGAAGTATTAAATATTGTCGGCTAATGTATACCAAATATACACTATACTACTCCAAGGCACCCTTTATTTTATATCGAGAAAGAAACAATGGGTTATACACTTTTTTATGCAAGTGTCAAAAATCAAATGCAATTATGGACTCCTTAATCACGTCTTTATTTTTCCGTCATTCACGTTCTAACTATGCAAAAGAAACTGCACGAAGAATTTCTTTTTTGATGTATCCAATTCGAACAAACAAGTATAACGTGTTTTCGTGCCTCGCTGTTGGACTCTACAAAGTAAGAACTTCTTGTTATGCTATACGCTATCGCGGGTTTTTCTTCTTGTTGTTATATTATTACTTACTATGACTTTGTTACCTGTTTTTACTTAGGTAATTACCCTCATCACAGCGCATCTCCTTCAAGTTATGTAGTAAATATAGGAGATGCCCCTAAACAGTGATTTTCCTGGACACTTATTTCCTGAAAAAAAGTCTAACACAGACCCCTCATCATGGTCGCGTGGTCAAGTTACTCGATATCTGAACCGATGGCCGCGAGATTGAATTCTGGCCGCTGTGGCCACATTTTGTATGAAAGCTAAAATTCTTGAAGCCGTGCACTTTGATTCAGGTGCATGATAAAGAACTTCAGGTGGTCAAAGTTTGCAGAGCCCTCCACCACTGCTTCCGCCGTAATCGTATCATGGTTACAGAACGTAAAATCTCAACACTTATAAAATCGGTAGCATGTATCATTCGTTTCACGTCGATTAGGAAATAATGTTGGTGTTTCTATTGTTTCGTTTATTCGTTTATTATTACCTTAAGGATCCCGAGGGACATTATATGATAGTTTCACTTTCATACTACTGCCTTCAACAGTATCGCGCCTTCTGAATGGTCTGTGTTACAATATCACGCGTTTTCAATTGTATCTGTTACAATATAACGCGTTCTGAATGTTATGTGTTACAATATGACGCGTTCTTAGTGGTATGTGGCTATTGCGCAGGAGGCCGGACCTCCAAACGAGCTTCGGCGGTGGACATCAGACTTCTTGGACAAGGCTTGAGTGAGTGTTCAAAAGTGTAGCTGTGCTTCTTATGCATTATTTAGGGCATACATTAATTACGTCACAGAGAGATGAATGAAGATGAGAAGGATGGGCGTAATAGAATATTTACACTTATACATAATGAAGATTGAATTAAAAAATTATCGCAGCTTCCCATCGGTGCTTCTAAGACTTTAAGAAGAGCGGCAATTAGTAGATTTCCTTATTTTTATTTTTCCCCTTTCTTTCATCTCTTTCGTGTCTTTCTCTTAGCTTGCTTGATCTGTTTTTTTCTCCTACCTGTTGCTTTCTTATTCTTTCTTTTTTTCTCGATTTGTTTATCTGTCTCTCTCTTTATTTCTCTTCCTTCGTTTTCGGTCACTCTGCTTCTTGATATCTCTTTCTTTCTTTAAATTTATTTATTTCAAGCACTTTTGTCTTGCAGTCTGTTTGTCTATTTCATATTGGTTTCCGACCCTTTTTTCTTATTCTATTTCTATCGAACTATGTGTTTTTTTTTTCTTTCTTGCTGGTTTCTCTGGTTTGACCCTCACCCACAAAGGGGAATAGGCCAAGAGGCCTGCGGTTAATGCAATGACCAATTAAGGACCACGCAGGGTAAAAGGAGAAGTCATAACTTGTTTTTAACACAGTATAATAATTTTGACGCAAAGAAAAAAAAAAGAAATAAGAACAGAAATTATTGAAAGCTAAGTTTAAGGTTGGTTTCGAAAAAGATGGTCAATAACTGAGCAAGTTAGTCTCCCTGTGTTACCGAGTAATTAGCAGAGAGCCCCGCAGTCGATCCTGTCGCTAAATTTAAGTGAAGCATCCCCAAAGGACAGATTATCTGGAGTGCTAAGTGGAATGCCTATTTTCCTTTAATTAAATGTCAAAACATTTTTCCTCTTTGAAACGGCGACATGCAATGAGAGAACGGTCGACATATTCAGGTTCCTTGCAGCTAAACCACAAAAGAGATGGCACCGGACCAGACCTGTTTAAGTAGAAATTAAGGGGTGGTACACCGCATCGTAATCTTGTTATGGAGACTTCCCATTCATGCGTAGGACACCATTTATTATTCCATGGAAAGCGCAAGTGCGATAGTTCTCGATTCAATGTAACGATCTTTAGTGAATGCTGAAGAAGGGATAGTTTTCTTAACCTTGCTGCCGTAACATAAGCTGTTTGAAGCATAACTGGCACAATCGGACCATCAAGGGATGCTCGCGCAAATGAGTCGGTCATCTCATTTATAAATGTAACCCGGCGATCTGGTACCTATATCAGTCGTACTAGACGAATGTTCGCTGGGATCACTGATTCAAATGTATTTAGTAAAGCTGATTCAGGCGACAAAAATAAGAATGAACAGACGAATGACGAATCAGTCACTACCACAGCTGTCGAATGAGTCGCTGGAAATTTTCGAAAAGCTAGAATATTAGCCGTTCATTGCGCTTCAAGTATGAGTGTATAATCTGGCAGTCGAAATGAAAATGACCAGGATAATGAGTGAGAAAAAATTACCACACCTGCTTTATCATGACTCATAGATGCGTCCGTTGCAATTACAGTATTAGTTCCTAATCCAGTCAGTTGTTCTTATAATAAGCCAGTCAAATACTTAGAGGGCAACTGTTTAGCCTTCGTTGTAAAGATATCATCGAGTTCTATTTGCACATTGCCTATGATTTTGTCTGATTGAATGATCTCCAATACATTAACATCTAAAGCATTTACTAGGGTTTGAACAAACAACAATTTAGCTTTATGTATACACGGGACCAATGCTCATTAAAAAAAAAAACCCGGTTTGGCGAAAAATACGGACTACTGTGTTTTCAAAGTGGATTCATAAAATTTTAAATAAGTTTAAATTGTTAAAATACGGAATCTGCAAGCAACAGTGGGTATCGGACCTTCCTAATACAAAACATTAGCTATAAATTTTGGCACACCTAAACAACTACGAAGAGCTTCCCGCTCAAAAAGAATCAAGAAGTTTATGTTTATCTTGTATGCTGGTGCACCAGATAATATTACAGTACCAAATTCAAGAATCGCTCGAACATGCGTGCAGTAAATTATGATCAGCGCATCTCTGGGTATACCGGAACGGAGCCTGCCAAGTCTACTTATTATCCTAACAGCGCGTGCAGCCTTAATTTAAAATGCTCAATGTGATTACACCAGCTCTGCTTTTCATGGTACCGTACACACAGATATTTAATGCAGTCAACGTGGGGAATTATGTCGTGATGACATTGAAACAAAACTGTTAAATGGCCTCTACAAAAGAAAAAAAACTATTAGAACACTTTTAACAACGTTTAGTTTCATATGAATATCTTCAAACTAGGTTTTCAATGTTGAGAAATATCACTGTAGTAAAGTTCAATGTAGTAAATGAATAAAGCGGTCAGATGAAAAGAAAAAGCGCAGTGTCATCTCCATATACATTTACTTTTACCTTTATTTCTCAGGGTATTTTTTTCTTTCTCTTTCTTCGCATCACTTTCTTTTCCTCTTTCCATTTTTTTCTTTCTTTCTGTTTATATTTAGGTCGATGTCTGTGCACGTTAAAGAAACCCAGGTGGTCGAAATTTCCGGATCCCTCTACTGCGGTGTCTCTCCTAATCATAAAGCGATTTCGGGATGTGAAACCCCCGCACAATAAAAAAATAATTACTACTACTTTTCAGGCCCCTCTATTCTCGTGTTCCACCTGTTCCACTTTGCCGAGCACAGTTCTCGTTTAACGCGTCTTGACGTGCGGGTCGCCCACTGCGCGCAAGGGCGCGTACCGCAGACCAATGAATGAATGAATGAATGAATGAATGAATGAATGAATGAATGAATGAATGAATGAATGAATGAATGAATGAATGAATGAATGAATCAGTCAATCATTCACTGAATGAAATATTCGCACATGCTTGAATCGGTAGTAGGGCTCACCCCATTGCTGGAGCGCATGTCCACCTGTGATTTCCCACTGCCAGCAAAGTGTTTGTGACTGTCTTAAACAGCTCCGAAGTTGAAAGAACAGATTGTGCTTTTAAGGGGTGAAGCAAGAACAAAGTAGCAACCACGTATCTACGACATGCTACACTTTATGCGACATGCTACACTTTATGCTTAAAGTGTAGCATAAAATATTATGCTACACTTTAAGCTAATCCACAAAAGAACGTTGAAACCACTTTCAACGCGTTTTATATTTCAAATAGCCACAGCCAAGTCTAGCCTCTGCGTAGAAGACACCTGACGCTCGAGAACGCCACACTCACTCTTGTGTTCTCAGTCAAGTTATCATCATCATCAGCCTGACTACGTCCACTGCAGGACAAAGGCCTCTCCCATGTTCTGCCAGTTAACCCCAAGTAACTGGCGGAACAGGTTGCGGCGATGGCGTAGTGGTTAGAGCATCCGCCTCGCATACAGCGTCGTCCGTTGTCACAAGCAGGAGCACTGCTCAACCGTCACTGACCTGCAAGGCGTTCGTCGTCATTCAGCTTCGTCATGGTGCCCAACGCTGTTTCGCTGAACACTAACTGCTTCATCCGCGTCATCCGCCGCACGACACATGGATATGCACTTGTTCTACGCACTGTTGAAACCCCGTGATGGACAAAGAGATTTGTAAACGTTGCTAAGAGTAATGTAACAGCCAGACGAACACTGCGTAACCAATAACGCGGCGCAGAGCACAGATATTGTCCGCCACGGCTCAGCACGAGACCTGGGGAGGCACACATTCCGCCGCCAGCCGCGGCCGCTCACTGCTAGACCAGCTTCACTGCGCAACACGTAACCATAACAACGCCGCCATTGTGCCTATTGATAATGGCTGCCATGATGTCATTTCCGCCACAGTTTTTACGCCCTGCACCGGCTGGGCATGCCCTCTCCTTACCTTTTTCCTTCCTCCGTGTCTCCACAGGTCGGTGGGGAAGTCTAGCGTTTCAGTGGCGTTGATGGCATCTTCTAGTATTCTGTCATTCCTTGGAAGATAGCGAAACATTTCTTACCGGGAAGCATTCAGCAAGCATTACCTTGGTGTCTCACAAGTTATCCTTCTTTTGTCATAGCGGGTTTTTGTTTCTGTGCGTGGTTTCAACGTTGCAAGAAAATCAACAGTGCGTCGCTTGGGCGATTTATCGCAGGCCTTCAACATCTTGAGGTGCTTAGGGGATGTCACTGCGGTGGCACACTACAGCTGAACTGAGTGCGCGGAGTGTGATCTCAACAAAAATACATTTCACACAAAGCGACATTCTTAAAATATCATGCTACACTTCAAGCTAATCCACAAAAAAAAAAAAAACGTTGAAACCACTTTCAACACGTTTTATATTTCAAATAGCCACAGCCAAGTCTAGCCTCTGCGTAGAAGACACGTACCTGACGCTCGAGAACGCCACACTCACTCTTGTGTTCTCACTCAAGTTATCAACGCTTGGCTATAAAACTTTTAGTTTTATAACCAGGCTAAAAACCAGCAGCGAGAGGAACGATCACATTGGACTTTTCGGTTACTGAACAAATCAAAATCCACGTCACCGAAAGGCGATGCTGTCATCTTCAGCGATCGTTTCGGAACACGGGCTCTGGCGACGCCAGCCTGGGCATACGCTATAGCGTGCATTCACGTGCAATCTCACGGACTCGCGCTCAATTATATAGTCGGACCAAAGGCGCAATAAAGACTAGGCACTGCGCAGAAAAAAACAGAAGTACAAGAAAAAGAAAGAGCCCCCCCCCCCCCCCCCGCGCTTGATGAGGACGGCTGCGGCTTCTTCTGTGAGATCAAATGTGGGATGTGCCCGTCAACATGCGATGTCGCAATGGCGCGTAGCGCTCGCTGATATCAGCTCAAGGAGGAGAGAGAGAGAGGCAGCAAAGCAGCAAGGCGGAAAGACCAGCCAAAGATGGGGACACATCGGGCTGCGGTGATAAGGGGTCTGGGACCTTACTAGCGACCCACGAGGAATTTATCATTTTCGTGTTATCTAGAAGTCTCTGGGTTATC